GCTTTCTCTACCACTTCTGTGAATCCAGGCATGTTCTTCCATCTTTTATCAAATAAGAATCTTTTCTTGCTAGGTTCAGAGTGACCAAGAGTATTAAGGATCATCATACTGTGGTCGGAAGTAAAATTATTAATGTGCTCAACATGGCAGTTTGGATGTTTTAAGGACCAGGCAGGAGAAATGAGAAATCTATCAAGTCTTTCCTCTATAAAATTGTTCCCCTTTCTATTGTTAGACCAAGTAAATGGATGACCAATCACTTTGGTTTCAACAGCTTCCAGACCCCTAACAAAAGATTTAAAGCTATCAAAACTGGATTCTTCTCTAACTAGACCCCCATTCTTCTCTTCATTAGGGAGAATATCATTAAAATCACCCCCATACACCAATGGTCCCCCCAGCAAGTACTGTATCTCAATAAAGTGCCCCACTGGGCAACTCGGATTGAGGAATCAGTTCTTGCAAAGACAAAAATAATCCAAGCCTTAGGTCCATTCACCTGAAGGCAAAATTGGATTTGAATGTAAAAATCAAGATTAATAATCTGCAAAATGGTGACATTATGGGACCAGGAAACTAAAATGCCACCTCTGGAGCCTATAGGACTCTCATCAAACCATCTATTATCTAGTTTAAGCTTTTTACAAATAGCTGCTACAAATTTAGGTTTTTTCTTGGTCTCTAAAAGGCAAGAGAAAACAAGGAGATGAGCTCTGAGAGCTTCTCGAAATTGGAAAATTGTAGAGGGTCCTCCCAAACCTCTACAATTCCACACCAGAACCTTCATTGGCCCTTTGGGGACCGATTTAGGCTGGTCTCCCCCACCTTATTTGATTCATTTTGAGTGAGTGATTGAAAATCAGATGATTTAAGCTTTTTTGTTTTCAGAAATTATATCAGGAACAAACACATTGGAGTTTTCATCTTCTAAGCCTCTCTTTTTTTGATTAGGAATGGAGAATTTACCCATCTCAGTGTCAACCATCATAGCTTCTGAGATCATCAGAGTGCCTGATTTAGGTTTTCTGGTATATGATTTCTTTTTTTCTGATCATGGACCTACTCTCACTAGAAGATGGCAAAACAGTGACTTCAACAAGTTGAGATTCCAGAAGCTGTTGATTCCCTTGCACCTCCCTTTCAAGAGGGTCCATCTCTTTTGAGATGTCAGCAGGCACTAGATTAGTGTTGCTATCAACAATGTGAGTCTCAACTAACTGTTGTTTAGGTGAAAGAGATTGCTCTCTTATGACTTCTTGATCAGAAGTTTTATCACCAGTAACACTTTTATCAAAACTCATTTTCGGGGATTTGATGACATCCAGATCATCATCTTGACTCTCAGAATGGTTACTGGAGGGATTCCTATACCCTAAAGGGATGATACTACTAGCCCTTAACCAATCACCATACTGACCAACTTTGAGCACATTATTAAGAATATCATTTTTTTTTAAAAGAACAGTTCCTGTCGGAATGTCCTATTAGACCACAATAATAGCAGAAACCTTGAATACTCTCGTACCTGAAGTCTAGCCAGCGATTTTCACTTCCTTGTTTGATATTGGTTCCTCTGAGGAGAGGCTCTGACAGCTTTAATTCTACCAATATCTTCATAATTTGGCCATTGGAATTACCTGCCCCTGAGAGCAGGACATCTAAGACCCTTCCAATTTTCCTTCTTATCTTCAATCCCAAGTCAGCAGATATCCAGTGTAGGGGAAGTTTGATAATCTGTACCCATATTTTGATGACTTCTTCTTCTTTCTGAAAATCTAGGTTTTTTGGGTCCCAATTCTTGAGCAACAAATATTGGCCGTCGAAAGACCACGTCTTCCTATTTAAGATCTTCTCCTTGTCTTCTTCGTTCTGAAAAAGAAATTGGAATTTGTTTCCTCCTAGGTTTTTAATCGTGAATGGCTCTTTGGTGACCCAAATTCCTGATAGTGTCGTCTTCAGACCGCTAAAGTTGATTCTTTTTTCTCCGTAGCTCTTGCCAATAAGGCTTAATTGGCACTCATGTAATCCCAGAGCTATGTCGGTGTCCAGAAGTTCAACTTCATCACCTTCCTTGTCAGAGAGCTTGATCTTAATCATCCGGTCTGATAATTCTTGTTCCATTTGGAATTGATCAGATCTGAGACTCTGAAAGGGTAAAGATAATGAACAGAACCGATATGGCTTGGCTGGGTGAGGGAAAGACAGAGAGAGATGAAAAAGGGGCAAGATAAGAAAGTAGGGTTGACGAAAACTGAACAAAAAGGGCGAGAAAATGACAATAGATTAAGATGGAGAGGATGGAGATTGCAGAACGGAGCTAGAGGATGAGGAAGAGAAGATTAAGAGGAGAGAAAGGAGATTTGAGTGAAGATCAAAAACCCTAACAAACTATCCAACAGGTGGAACGATATCTCTAGAGAGAAAAAATCTCAAGAAGAGACCGGCAAATACCCTAAGGACAAATTAATGTATAAAGATGTATGAAATTTTGAAAATAAAATAAATATTACAACCCCAAGCGTCCCACAAGTTCCTCTGATTTGCCAACACTACTCTTTATCCAAAATCCCACAATTTTATGCAAAATTAATTATTTTCGAAAAATTATAAAAAAAAAAAAAAAAAAAAAAACGCCCATTCCCTCTACAAAAAATTATAAATGATAATTTATTGGTGCTAATGTAATTTCACATTTAGAAAAAAAAATAGATTATAAAATTAATGGTAAAAGTATATACAATTATATACATATAAATTAAATAAAAATTAATATCAATTAAACTGATTTGACCACTGGTCCAATCGTGAATGAGTGAACCGGTAGTTTCATCGGTTCGATGACCGGTTCGGTTTTCAGAACCTTGAATATAATAAACAATAAATAAATTATAGACCCACGCAATCGGAATTATGGATACTGCAACATTATTTTAATTTTTTTTTTCATTTAAAGGTTTTTTTTTTTTTTTTTTTTGGGTACAATTATTTAAAGGTTTTAAATTGCAATGAAATGCATTAGTGTTGTGTTAGTCTGGAATGACGGCATGAATTAGTCTGGAAGATTTGTCTAACGTTGAAGCAAATCACGCGCTTTGGAAGATTTTTCTAAATTTCAATGGTTACATCGAAATATAATACTATTTAATATTTAATAAAATAACAAAATTCATAATTAAATTAATTTTTAATATGTAGCTCTTCCAATTTTTATAAAATAGTCTAAAAATTGTGTGACTTATCAAAACAAAATATATACTGAATGAATAAACCATGCTCATATAGAAATGGTTTTGAAGTTCTGAAGGCTAGCCGGTTCAGAACTGGTGGTTCTGGACATGGGGGCTTGGATCGAACATGATTGCATGGGAGTGTCGTATCCCCGTCGAGTCCTACCTTAGGTCTTTGGCCTCTTTCTTTGTACCGAAAAAAAAAAAGAAAAAAACGCCGACCCGATTGTCTTCTGGCAACGTGTAACACAATTTTTGCTCGACCACAAATCCTTCTGTAAAATAGCCTAATCATCATATGATAGGATTCGTAATACATTTGTCATAAATATGTATTCTTATATTATGTAATGTCATTTTTTTTTTGTATTTTTTCTTAAAGTATGAAATTTTATTTGTATAAATTTTTATAATTGTCTAACTATTTGGCATATAGCTAGACAATGATTAAGTTAGAAAATGAGCATACAACTGTAAAGTTGGCAACTGGTAAAAACAGATGGGTAAAAATGATGTTTTAAACAATGCACTACAAAAATAGTATATATTTCAGGCAAAATTCCACTTTTATCTCAGCGGTGCACAATTTTTACTGTCTTTCTAGTTTTTACCTCGGTAAGTCCAATCTACTTTTAGAAGCAAAAGCGTCAACTTTTTTATTGTTGAATTTTCACTTTTCATTTCACAATCTTGAAGAGTCAATCCCCCACTTAGGTTGGTTGACCGTTTATCCTGGAAATTAGTTGGTTCCTTCTTTAATTTGTAATTCATTTTTGGCAAAATTGCAATTTTCCTAGATTTAAACATTTTGCTATTTGATCATGCGACTTAAATTTTGTTGCAATTTCAGTTCCTAAAAGATCGAAATTGTTGCAGCAAAATACTAAATTACATGATCAAAAAGCGAAAAGTTGAGATTTCAAGATAAAAAATGCTACAACATTAAACCAGCATGACTAAAAGTACAATTTTACCTTCGGATCAACTTTATATATCAACAAAGAAAGAAAGAATAATATGACCAGCCTACACTTTTAGACTTGAAACTGTCACTTGTTTAATAGGTCAACTCTTCAGTTTCATATATATACTAATATTAATACAACATGGATGTTGAGTTAATGAATATATGTGTAAAGTTATTTATTTCTAATATTAAACCTAATTCCAAAGCAAAAATAACATAAAAACAACATCACGAAACATAGATTTTCACCATGTCAACATCTGAAGCGTGAGGATCTGCCACCTAGGCTCAACAAGTTTTGAATTAATATACATGCAGGGATATCCCATACGTAACTATTAAATCACCTACACCTCGGCCAAAATAAAAATAAATAAATAAATAAATAAATAAATAAAAATAATAAAGTACAAATTAAAAAAAAAAAAACACTAAAATAAAGTCTCTCAAACACTAATGATTAAGAATTTATAGAATTTTGTCAACTTAGTTAATAATAAACATTCAACTTAAAATTGAATGTAGCATAGCATGCGATCCAGATTCATAAATGAAACTTTAGTTTGGCTCTTGCACACACTCATCAAGTAGAGTTGACTTTCCCAGTTGTTGTAGCTTATTTAAGCTCTAAACTCCCGCCATCACATTTTCCATATAATATCCTTTGTCCAATTTCTGGTAAATAAATAAATGAATTAACTAATTATCTTCGTCTGTTCGTCGGCACTCGGCACTAATGCCATATATATAGTCTTACATTTTTCGATCACGTTTTGTTTGTTTTTATTTTTTGGACAGATCGAAAAATGAGTGGGAATAATAACCGAATTGGAGACGAGTCGGATATGTTGAGTGGGTACGTCGTCCACAAGGTTGGGGTGCCGCCAAAGCGGAGCCTTGTGAAGGAATTGAAGTTCACGTTGAAAGAGACGTTCTTTCACGACGACCCTCTGCGACCTTTCAGGGACAAGTCGGTTCCGAGAAAGGCGTGGCTTGGGATTCAAGCCGTGCTCCCGATCCTCGACTGGGGGAGACGCTACAAATTCGACATGTTCAAGGGCGATCTCATAGCCGGCCTCACCATTGCAAGCCTATGCATCCCTCAGGTCATTAACAATTAATGTATTTATTTTATTAGGATATATATATAATATTGTAGCAAATTAGTAGGAATATTTGAATTTCAAACAATATAAATTGAATTTGTACTTTCTTCGTGCAGGATATCGGATATGCGAAACTGGCTAATCTTGATCCGCAGTTCGGTTTATGTAAGCTTAATTTGTTGCATCCTTTACATATACTCAAATTTATATGCTACATATTAATTTATCAAAACAGATAACTTTTTCTGTTGGGAATTTTTTGAACAGATAGTAGTTTTGTGCCACCCTTGATATATGCCATAATGGGTAGCTCGAGGGATATAGCAATCGGGCCAGTGGCGGTCGTGTCCCTCTTGCTCGGGAGCATGCTGCAGAACGAGATCGACCCCAAACACAAGCACGAGTACCAACGGCTGGCTTTCACTGCTACCTTTTTTGCTGGCATCACTCAGTTTGCACTCGGTTTCTTCAGGCTGGGTTTCTTGATCGACTTTCTCTCTCATGCTGCCATTGTTGGGTTCATGGCTGGGGCAGCCATTACCATAAGCCTCCAGCAGCTCAAAGGCTTTCTCGGCATAAAGAATGCTAAATTCACCAAGAAAACCGATATAGTCTCTGTTATGCGTTCCGTCTGGACTACCGCGCATCATGGGGTAACAAATAATTACGGTCTCAGCCTAAATATTTTCACAAAGAAAAGAAAGTAAAAGGAAAAATCTCTGTTCTTTTTTTCTGTGTTGGCAGTGGAACTGGGAGACTATTGTGATAGGAGGCTCATTCTTGGCTTTCCTGCTTTTTGCCAAGTACATTGTGAGAAGCCTCTAACAATTTATTTGCTTTTTTTCTCTTCTTCGAAGATGACGATTAACGTTTAATTTTCGTCTAAATTATTGTTGGATCAGGGGAAAAAGAACCGGAAGTTGTTTTGGTTTCCAGCAGTAGCTCCTCTGCTTTCCATAATCATTTCGACATTCTTCGTCTTCATCACCCATGCAGAGAAGAAAGGAGTTCAAATCGTACGCATTCGACAAAAAAATTACTATTACGTTCCTCCACTCGATTATAGCCAGATGAAACTTGACATATATATGAATTGTTTACTGTGTATTTTTGAAGGTGAACCATATTGAGAGAGGCATCAACCCTTCTTCTGTGCATGAAATTCATTTCACGGGCTCGTACGTCGGCACCGGTTTCAGAATCGGTTCCGTGGCAGGCATTATTGCACTTACGGTAACCCAAAAAAAATTGGCAGGCATTGTTGTTGTTGTATGGAAAAAGTAAAGTAGTGTTAAACTTAATTTTCAAAAACAGGAAGCCGTAGCAATTGGCCGAACTTTTGCTGCCATGAAAGACTATCAGTTGGACGGGAACAAGGAAATGGTGGCGCTCGGGACAATGAACATCGTGGGCTCTATGACATCTTGTTACGTCGCGACAGGTTCTTCTTCATTCTTCGTAAATAAAAAATTCATATTCTCATCCACACACTGCATTTAAAATTTTCTATTAGCTTAACAATTTTTTTGTTTTTCTTCTTAATTTAGGATCTTTCTCGCGGTCGGCCGTGAACTACATGGCCGGGTGCAATACGGCCGTCTCAAACATCGTGATGTCCGTTGTCGTCTTTCTAACTTTGGAATTCATCACACCACTTTTCAAGTACACACCAAATGCCATTCTTGCTTCCATCATTATATCGGCTGTTGTGGGGTTGTTCGATTATCAGGCCATGATTCTTATATGGAAGATTGACAAGTTCGACTTTGTGGCGTGCATGGGCGCCTTCTTTGGGGTCGTTTTCATCTCTGTCGAGATCGGACTTCTGATAGCAGTAAGTACAAAAATATTGCAACAAGAGAATTAAATTAAATATCTTATTATTAGAATGCTAACTTTTTTTTTTTTTTTGGATTTTCTTGTGTAGGTTGCTATATCTTTTGCCAAGATTCTTCTTCAAGTGACTAGGCCACGAACTGCAGTGCTCGGGAAAATCCCGAGGACAACGGTTTACAGGAACATACAGCAATATCCTGAGGCGACCAAAGTTCCGGGTGTTGTGATTGTCCGGGTTGATTCGGCTATATATTTTTCAAATTCCAATTACATTAGGGAGAGGTACCGAATGTCTGAAAAATGTTCCGTTTTATTTTTTCATTTGTTTTCTATTCATCGTTAATGGTGTGATGTATAACTTCCAAATCAAACATGTTGATGTCATATTTTAGCAGTTAATGGCTGCCTTGGCCGAACCAAGTTGAGGTGGCAATAATATTCAAACAGAATCGTGTTTCTTGACGAAAACACTATTTTGTTTTCAGGATACTGAGATTGATGGCTGATGAAGAGGAACAACTTAAAGAGAATAATCTACCAAGAATCCAGTATTTGATAGTCGAAATGTCACGTAAGCAAGGACCCTTAGCTGATTCTACTCTGTTTATTTTTTTCGGGTCATAACAAAACGGATTTTAATTCAAAATCTCTCTTCTCTATTGTTCATCAGCCGTGATCGATATAGATACCAGCGGCATTCATGCATTGGAAGATCTACACAAGACACTACAGAAGAGGGATGTCCAGGTAAGTATGACAATGTTACCAGTCAATCTCATGAACATTACATAATTTGTTCTTAGATATGAATTTAATTCGATTAGTTTGTTTTGCAGCTAGTTTTAGCGAACCCAGGGCAGGCGGTGCTGGACAAGCTCCACACGTCCACCTTCACCGACACGGTTGGATACGACAAAATATTCCTAACTGTTGGAGATGCTGTCATGACATTGGCTCCAAAGATGGAGCCTTGATATATATATATATCACTCTTTCGCCCGACACAGTTTCACATATTCCACGTGTGCTTCATATATATATATATATATATATATTTATACTAGTTGGCCGTCCGGCTGTGCGTGCTCTAGTCCAGTGTATAATTATAACTAATATTTAGGAAAATTTAAAAATACACATACACACCTATTAATAATACTGATAATGTGTTTAACGTCGCATTATGTTACAAATGTTTTGTTGTTGAACCAACCTATGTTGATGCGAAAATGTGACAACTTAGATAACTTGTGAAATAGATGGCTAATAGATGGTTAATGCGATAATGCACAACTTAGATAACTTGTAAAATAGATGGTTAATGCGATAATGCGGCCTTGTATTTTATGGCATTTATAAATCTACCTTCAAATAACTTAACATCAATCCATTAGAAATTAGATATTTACCAATTAACAAAAGTATTAATAGTTTTTTTTTTTGTTGACACAATATTCAAGGGGTGTTAAAAACCGAAATATTAATATACACTTAACAATCAACCCTCAATTTAGTGCATGTACAATTTGAGTCATAATAGTCTTTGTCGAACCAGCAAACACAAACTTGTTCTTGGTTCTCTACTGTAAGCCAGACACCAGTGAACACGATTCACTAATAAACACCTTCACAAAAACATTGATGAGATATCCTCCTCCTAAGAAAAAGTATACTAATAATAAAATGGAACAAGCAAAAATAATAACAATTGAATTTTTAAGCCTAGACATAAACTCATCCAAAATAACAATCATTTAAAAATCGAATTGATAGTCCAAACGCTATAAAACTATGTTAATATGTTCACAAGACCTATTTGCCAATAAATAAATCAACATGGAGCAGTGAGCCTAGTACCCCGGCGAAACTCCTTGAACAAGATGATCCCACATGAGTTTTTCAAATAACAATAGTGTAAATCCCATCCATTCTCAAATCGAGCTTTCTCACATTCTTCTCCAACAACTGGATGTACCATTTCAAAAAATTGGCCCTTTTTATCAACAGAGGCAGTATCTTACAACTCCTTATTTTGAAACTCATAAGGAGAAAAACCAACCTCATACCTATATATCAATGTAGCAGCACATGTTAATGTGTTTGCCTGGTCGTCCCTATAAGAAAAATATCCATACTAAGCATTGCATTTTATGTAGCTTTTGGGGGGAAAAAAACACATTCTAAAGTACGAAGAAAATATAAAAAATTCTCAATGCATACCATAATTTAACAATGTGGTAACCAAATTACAAATATAAGTGATTAAGACACCCTCTAGAAAATAAATGAATTCAGGAGATGAAACAAAAGTAGAAGTCTTACAATTATCCATGCATGGTTGCATGTGCACATAGGTAGAAGTCATTGTTCTTGGGGTGACCGACTTTATCAACAATTATCATCCCTGCAAAAGGAAGAATAACAAAAAGATCATTCTTAATACAACTCCTCATGTTTTATTATGCCTACATATTGGAAAAATGTAAAAAAGAGAGATGAAACCATGAAAATGTGTTATATGTTGGCGTACGTTGGTGGGAGAATTTTCCTGGAAGAATTTGAATTTTGTGTGGTGATGTTTGTGAGCAATAATCACGACATATGATAAAAGTATGTTCTCGCTCAATCAGATACTATTTAGGGAACTAATCAAGCGGTTCTGCTTTATAAACCACAATCTTCAAAAACGTCTCAGTATCTTAATACATAGTTCAGAATAATAAATAAGGCAGGATAAGCATCTAATTAAGCTACTTTGAGACTTTAGGTAAATAGAATTTTACCAATTTTTGAAATTATTGAGGAAGAATATTTAAATAGAGAACAATATTCAGAAGGTTAAATAATCAACTCCAAAAAAAGGATATTCATAAAAACTACAATGAAAGGACAAGGCTACTAACACAGTAACAGACTAACCGACACCGGAGCCAAGCTCGATAACAGAACAACCTCGAAGCATGTAGCCATTTTTAGAGAGAAAATCATTCAAAAGCTCAGCTCCAAGCCATATCAACTACCCCGTCAAGTCAAAATCAGCTGCCATACAGATAGTCAGTACCCTCATTGCAATATAACTCACACAGTAGTAAAATCACAAGTAAAAGAATTCTCCAAATGTAAACCAGTTTTGTTTTACATGATCATCTCTAGTAAATCACTATGAACTGAAGTTAAATTTTCAAATTACCATCCAAGTCAAAGTTGCAACAACTACACAGGAATCAGGATAATATCAGGCTCTCAACTTTGAATCCAGACTACAAAATTAACTACTACACCATTCAAATTAAGATTGACCTTAAAATACAAAAACTCTGAGTTTTTTAACTAAGAATTGAAATCGGCCCACCTACTGTCCCAGACTAAGGGAAGGTGGTAGAACTCTCTACATTCTGAAGAAGTGATATATGGCAGCGAAAGTTATAACAGTCAAGAAGCAAGAGTTTTTTGCCTTCGAAGATAGAAGTAAAGAGTTGAAAGGGAAGTCATTTGGTGAACAAACCATAAAGCCCTTTGGCGTAACTCTTTAAGCTCATCACATAAGCATTTGGTATTAATAAAGACTTGAATTGTTAATCCTCTTTTTTTTTTTTCAGAACGACATTTATTTGTAAATGAGGGAGTATCAAGCCATAATTAATAGAAAATTTTATACACCTCACAGTATCATCTGATTTAGAATGAATGGAGTATTTTTTTCTATTTTTTTGAGAACACATATTTTAAATGAGAAAATATCTAAAAAACAAATTAAATGTTTTGTTAGGAGTTCATTCTTAAAAGTTCATTTAAAAATTAAATTGTTAATCTCTTCTCAAAATATATTTCATAAAGAACATTTGAGTTGCTCCTTATCCAATAGTCAGTTGTAAAATGTTTGCCTATCACTATTAATAGACTTTGAAATGCAAATGTTGACTTAAAAACTGATTCCAAACAATCATATAAACACTCAGATAAAACAAAAATTTGACGAATATGATCTCAAAATCGACTTACACACAAATTCTCAATTTTTGGATGTGAAACCAAACACATGAGAGATGGGGAGGAACAAATTTAAAATAGGCACAAGGAAATCCATTCACGAAAGAGCGAGTCAGCTAAACGCCAGACTACAATAAAGTATCACAAATTACATAGCTGACACACCTCACACTTAAAAGGAGTGACTGTTAGCTCTTGGCTGGAATATGAGCATATAATATGCATATGTGTATATACCACAAATACACAAAAGACTTGATATCACCAAAATTCATTCATTATGCCCTCAAAAACTACAACCGTCTTAAAAAATGTTTAGACATACCACAAGAAGAATATCCTCTGCTCACTTTTATAAAATATTTCTAAGGCAATTAATCACCAATATTTAATCATTTCTCATGGCATATTAATACTCTACTTTCAGCATAAATCCAAAACACATCAGAGGCTATAATTTCCACAAAAGTCACAGGCTCCACTCACCCTTTTAGGAAAATTTCAAAGGCAATGGAACTCACATTTCTTAAACACATCACAAAAATCTCATTTCTGCAAGTTTAATGTCAAGGCAAATCTCGACTTTATAAGCACCACTCAAGAAACTTAAAAATCAATTTTCTAGGAAGTTAACTCCTCATATCAGAGGTACTAAACACAGAAAACTCACAGCAAGTTAGCAACAAGACATCAACTCTCGAAAATAAAAGAGGCTCCATTTAACGGCAATTAATCCCGATTATTACAACGACTATAAAAGTAAAACAATTATCACGACCCTTTTAAACTTCAATAATATGAATTTTTAGAGGCTATGAGACGCCCTAATCGAGATTCCAACACCAAATTCACAACCACAAACATAAAAAAAATAATATGATCTCTTATCTCATGAAAATACTCAAAATCATGAAATTCTTTATGCATGAACTCTATGCCTTTTAATCCTTCAAAACAACCCATAAATTAATAGAGGGTGACTGATTTAATACCTCCTTCAAGGAAAACAACAAAAGGAATGAAGGAGATCGGATTTTCGGGCCTCGGACGTAGAACTCGGAATCGGCTTTTGGTCATGTGAACGGGGCTGATACACGGCTCCCTTGACCTGCTTGCACGGTCGTCAAATAGGAACAAGATGCTGCCACTCGTCTTAACTCCTCTCCACGATTCGAACATGGTTGCTGCTCGCGGACTCCTCCTCGGCGGGCTACTGTGCGGCTCGTCTCCAGGTGGCGATGCGCGTGCGACGGCAAGGGCTGAGGAGAAAGAGTGCTAAGGCGATTGATGATGATGCCGAGAGAATGTTTTTGTGGCGTGAAAATTAGTTCTGGGAGATGAGGGTTTCAGTGCAAAACATAGGAGATAAGAAGAAAGAAAGTAAAAATTTATGGATTCCCATATGTAGTAATGCACAAAAACATGGTACATAAACTCACTGTAGTAAAAAATCATACCACAGTACAATATAATCAATCTAACAAAATAGTTGCAGCAACCTCCATACCAAGAATCATTACCTCTTCCAAACTTGTTATCAGGTTCCATTGATCAGCTTTCAATATCAAAATATCTCATCACAACCAAAGATTCTACAGAAACAAGGCAAAAAATAATTAACTTGACAACTGCTTTTATTCAAACCTTAGTCGATTATAAACTAATGATACTAATGGCTTATGTTCACTGCCATTGTTGGTTTTACACAAGCACAAATCGGATAGAGCTCTAATAACAAGAAGGATGATAAGATGTGCTACAAATCTGCAGTAATTCATTAAACCCTAGAAAGGGAAAAATATGTCTTTAAATACAATGTCTAAACCATTATCAACCATAGGATGAAAATCAAAGGCTAGAAAATGAGATGAGCAAGGAGACAAAATAATACACAAGAATGGCAAACACCATGTGCATGGCAAAGGCATGCATACGTACATAAAGGGAAATAAGAGGGAAAAGCATTTTAAAATATTGACTTGGT